GTCCAAGCCACTATATATATGTTCCCTTGTGTGTCATTTTGAGAGGTCAGTTTGCTCAGTGAACACCTTGTTTAGTTATTGTATTGAGTATAGTTATGTTACATTGACCTCTTTTGTAGGCCTAGTTGTTCATTTCTTGGTTTGTCATTTTTCATGCATTTCTGGGTAAATAAAAACCCATGATTTTGTCAAAAACTTGTGTCCTTGTTGTCTCATTGCTTGGTCCCTAACAAGCGTACAATCACCTGAAAATAGGAACCGTTGTGTTTTTGGTACCTTAGAATGAGATGTTTATATCTACATTGGGGGCAGATTCTCTTCTACGTTTCTACAGTAGCCCAGAACGGACAAATCAAACACTGGTTCTCGATAGGGCTTTTTGCTTTTTCGTTTTGTCCAGTGTAGGTAGACGCCCCTCCAAAACGTCAGCGTTGGAAAAACACAGATTGTTTTTTTTTTGTTTGTTTGGATTTTTTTTTTTTTTTTTTAACTGGTTTAATTTGTGTTTTTACCGGTTTAAATCACCAGGACTGTTTGGTAAACAACTTCTGACATGCCAGACAGCACAGGAGAAACACTAAATTGTAAGATGAAACGGTTTTATTCAGTGTTTTACCGATTTTAATGACCTGGTCCATTTGTTTTGGAGAGGAAAAGACCTCTGCAGATAAATTGGCTCCTGGTAAAAACCTCCCTGACGAATTTTTACCATGAGAAGTTTCAGCTGGTTGCAATCTGCAATCCTCACCATTAGATGCCACTGAATCCCCCTAAGTCTTTCACATTGTTCCTTAAAGCTTTGACAAGTTATTCGCACCATCAGATTCACACACTTAATCACACGCTAGAACAAAAACCTTAATTCCTTTCCATCTTCCAGAGAGATAACATAACACCTCACACGCTGCCTCTGTCAAGCTGCCATATGCCTGCCTTCACATAGGCCACAGAGGGTGGAACAGGCTTATTAATACTGGTGAGAGATTTGAACCCTTTTCTTTCTCATTACCAGTCAAATTTATTCCCTGTTAGACCTAATCAGAAATATGTTATTAAGTTAAGGACTAAGAGCCCTCTGCTTCTTACAGTATATTGACTTTTCTGATCCAATTTAACATTTTTCTACATGTGCAAGAAAAAAAGTTGAATAATTTAAAGATCCAGTGAGTGCAGTAGGGGGAAGTGTCTGTGAGTGGAGGCTGCACTGCACAGCCTCAGCTCCTAAGTAGGCATTTTCAGATGTTCTGAGAAAACAGGTGAAGACGGACATTTTTGTAAGGCAGACTGATTTTGCTCTAATGGCGTTCGGATGATTAATAGAGATTTCCATGTGAACCAGTGGAAGATATAAACTTCGTCTTTTCATACTTATGAATGTGGCCTCATCCCCCCCGGCAATATTAGCTGTCAAAAATTACAGCCATTGATCCAGCAGCCTCGTGTGTCAGAATAATATAAGGCAGTGAGGGGGAGACGTGTCTAAAGTGAAGTGAAGAGAAAAACACAGAGCGCTGGAATAAATGTACATATCAAGACAGGATTTTTAGCCAAAGAGAAAGCACTACAGGGAACATCCAACTGATTTCAACGTGACAAAATTGATTTTCCAATTTTCTACGGATCGCTTTCTGCTTTGCCGAGGTAGGTGAGGTGTCTATCCAAATACTCTTAGAGCTCCACCTGAATTATGTCTGTGGAATTTGGACAACAGAGGGATGAAGTTTGGCCATCTCTGGCTTCGTCTTTCCTCCTCTCCCTCTGCTTCCTCTTTGTTTTGGTGTGTAAACCTTTCTCTCTCTGCCACACATATACTGCACACATATGCTGGACATGCTGTCTCCAAAAGCTATATTCTGCATGGCAGATGGAATCGATGGGTGTCATGTCGGAGCCATATTTATGAGAATGTGCTGAAGTGGCTGGGTTTAAATCTCTCCAGACCTAGAGGAGGACAGTTTAAAACTTGTGCCTTCTGCACTTCCATCTGGCTCTGCCGACTGACTGTGTTTCTGAAGAAGTCTCACTTTTTTCCCTGTTTTTTTTTTTTTTTTTAACAGAGATGCTGCACTGCGGCTGGACTATTGCTTAAATCCCTAGGGATGTTTTTTTTTTTTTTTTAAATCCAGCACACTAATAAATTATGGCTGTGTCTGGGATGTGGGAAAGATACTTGTAGATACAACACAAAGACAATCATACATGGTGCTTCGGGCTTATACAGCTTTTAGGTGGCCACATCTGCAGTCATATCGCTATCATGGATTAGTCATATCTGTTTGGCTGCTTAGTAGAAAAAAATTACCATATTGGATTTCATTCTTTTGCTTTAAAATATAAGAGAGACTGCATGGACTGTGACAAGGGCTGTCGCAATAACGGCAATATTGCAATACTGCACTATCAACCGCAGGGTATGGCAAGCAAACGCCATAACCGCTATGTTCATGTTTTTTTCTTTTGTTTCTGTCATGAGAGTGCCGTTTTCTGTTCAACAAGAGTTGATAAATATTCAACTTTGGGTAAAACGCTGCGGCTGCCTGTCACTGTCACTTTTTATCCAGCCATCCAGTGACAGTGGAGGGGGTGTTGGACGAATACCACAAAGACCAAAAATCACGCAGCTGAACAACAGCAATAATGGAAGAGGAATTAATGCTGAACCCAAACAAACTGTCAGGTCCTTCCTCTCTCCCTATGTGCTCCAGCCTTCCCTTTATCCAGAGCAAGTACTCTACTTACCAACATATTGTGTATCATAGCAACCACAACCTTTTAGATGAACAAACACTGCACCCTTATAGCACCTGGCTGCCCTTCTGTGTCCCGCATTTAACAGAGGATCATTTGTTTGAAAACTGTGTGATCTTTGTCTTTTAAAAGGCAACGATATACCTAATAATAGCCTGACAAAAAGCTTGTTTTCATAGCTTTAAAATGAGGATAAATTAAATAGTTTGTAAAAACATCAGCAAAAAAGGTGCTAATACTGCACATTGTGCTGTTGAGCCCTTAATCACTGCAGGGGAAAATCCTTCACCACTTCACCATGACAGCTGTAAAACCACTCCATTGTATGTAATCTGTCAGAGAGGCAATTCAATGTCCCATTACTACAGTATTTCTATAGAAATATTATGAAACACTATGGTGTTCTGTTCATTTCTTCATTTGAAGTAAGGGGTATTGAGGGCTCATACTGATCCTTCAAAAGGGACATTCTGACGGACAGATTCATGTGTATTAAGTTGCTGTAGATCACAAATGAGTTGGCACAGCAGGGGGAAAAAGAAGGAGAGAACAGTGATGTCAGGAAGGCCTCCGTCACAGCAGAGATAGTTAATGAAAAAAGAGAAAATACACTAGAAAATCCACAGCTATCACATTTTTTCTAATGCTTATAATGCCTTTTGAGTGGGAAGATACTGCATTAAAAAAGTACTTCAATGATTTAGCGTTGCACTGACTGTAACACTGTCAGACTCATGATGGACAGCTTAAAACAAAAAGGGGTCAAAATCTATGATTTTATACTAACTCCACACACCAAATTTGTTCATTTTCAGACTCGTAGTCTTCAGCCCCAACCCACGCTGACTCAAGTGATAACACTTTGGGCACGTCATCAGACTTCATGCAGCTCCCTTTACACAACTTTTAGTACTATACAAAAGCTGCAGACAGATGTGTAAGACCAGGGGAGAATGCCTTGCTCTAATGCAAGTCTCAACAAACTTTAAAAAAGGCTCCAACAGGTTAAACAGATAATAACAAAAAACTTTCCATGTCTGTGCAGCAAAACAGACTGAAATCTGACAGAAACAGATGTGTAATCAGCTCTGTCCAGACAGCTTCCGATGAAAATTAACTGAAAATAATGTGTCCGGACAAACCCAGTGTGGCCACCTGAGGTGCTCATTAAATCAACGGTGTAAGTGAAATGATCAAACTTGACTCAGATGTGATTCCCCTGACATACAGAGACAATTGACTTGTGTCTCATGTATTGGTGACTTTGAAGGACTTCCTCATAACTCCAAAAGTTTATCACCTGAAGAATAAAGTGATAGGAAGAATCTGCCTTGTTTTCGGAGATTTATTGAGGCCACAAACAGGCTGATAATTTGGGGTTTTCAAAGGCATTCAACTGCATATTCGAACACAGGCCTGTTAGTGGTTGTAATAAATCTCGGCTGCAGACGGGTGGAGGAGAACGGCTATTGTTTTTTCCTCTTCGTGGATCTTTTGAAATATCCTAAAAAAATACGCTTCAAAAGTCTCACAGAGAGGAAACCACAACTTGCATCTCTTGAATCATTCAATCACTCAATCACCTCACAAAACCAGCATCAACAGTGCTCACTTCATTGATTACATCTCATTTCACCGTACTTTTAATCAATTACGCCTCTATTAAACAGTTTACTGTAGCTCAGAGAGCGGCTCATCAGGGCGGTTAGCCGCCATGGTTCCAGCAGTTCCGGATGGGAGGTTTTCAGCCGGGCTTGTTGGACACCACCAGAGCCGGCGGATGAGTGTGTATCACCTCAATTAAACTATGCGCTAAGTGTCTGACAACAGCTAATATTCCTCTTCCACCAGCGAACCCAATCGATGTTCTGGCATTCGTCACCCTGCTGAAAAAGCAATCATCCCGTTGTCTCGCTCCGCTTAGAGGGGGAAATGGAGAGACACTCATCTGGCTTCCGCGCCTGCCCACTGGAATGCACCAGCTCTTACTCTCACAAAGGCACACACACACATATAGGTAGCATACAAGGCACACACATACTGTATATACACACTTTCTGACATGTTGAGAAAGAGTAGACGAACCAAAAGCTGCAGCTCAGACATGGCAGCGACAAGTGTGAGACTTGTGACAAGAACCTGTCCAGCACAAGTCACACTCTGTTTCAATTGGAAAAGGACCACCACACAGTGTGGCGCGATACACTACACTCACACACAAACATATGCACACATTTGCCAAGTGAACTCACCTCTCTGTCAAGCAACTTGTCGGAGATGACAGTGACGATGTCTCCTCTTTCTGCATCGATGTAGAACATGTTGGGGAAAGGCTTGTCTGGCGACTGCCTGACGATGTTGTAACGCAACGCTGCGTTATCTGTGGCGGGGTCATCTGCGTCGAATGCCGTCATTGTCATCACTGTGGTTCCTGGAAGAGACAGTGACACAGGGTTGAGTCTAAACTTAACCACAGCTGAGAGGTAAAATAACTAAATGCTAATTGCTGGTTTCATAAATAAAATGTTTTTACAGGAATAAAACATAATTTTAGAAGATACAGATGGAGCTGCTTTTTACTCGTGACATTGGAAGGCATTTTTCACTGTGTTTCCAAAACACGCAGGAAAAAAGCTTCTCAGATGAGAAACAAACATATGGGCCAGGTAAACATACCAGACTCCTTGAAGAAAACATGCAAATTATGACATTTTATTTACCAAAAGCTTTACAACTTAAAGGCTTCGGATGCATGTTTTAAACTAGCAAAAACACACCAATAATTACTGGAACACATGTTCATGCCAACACAGTCTAGCCAAGCTGATCAAAGTGGGACTAGATTGTTGTCTATATGATATTTCTTATGTGTCACAATACCTATTGTGTATGGAGATCTAAAATGAAAGCAATCATGGCAGCAGATGAGAGATGAGAGAAGCGCAATCTCAAACTGCTGATAGGCGCTTAAAAAGTTAGCCTTTCGTATTAATGTGTTTTTTCTCCCTTGTGTCAGCTCTAATAGCGTGATGCATTTTATTTGGTAATGGGAACAAAAATGGAAATCCTGCCCGCTGCAGCTGAGCTGAATAAGAAGGCAATCCTTGACACACCCTCAACCCTCAATCTCTCTCTGCTGTCAGTGATGAGATACACGGCAGGACACACACTCAATCTGTGCACACCTAAATATACAGACGCAAATGCATGGATATGTGCTACCATACAGGCAGGCACACGCACACACAGACACACAGACGCACACACACACACACATATAGACCATGTTAGGTCGTGTCACTTCTGAGTAGTGTTTTCCATTTCTCCAGTGCGGGCAGAAGTGTCTATAAACTGCATCTCTATCCAGTGCTTCATGTTCTTGTCATCAGTGTGCAGTCAGACACCTCTGGTGAAAATATCACCAGCTGAACACCTCTTCAATTTGTTTAAGCTCTAAGTTTGACTCGTTCTTAGAGCGATATGTGACTGCGTTCTGATGAGAGGGACACAGATGGATACTTCTGATAAGCCGGGAAGTGTGGCACACTCTAAAATGTAGGACTGATGATTTTCTGTGTGTGCGTGTGTGTAAGAGAGAGATTTGATGTAATTTATTCAAATGATGGGGTGTAGTTTATTTCACTATAAACTGTAAAAAAATATAATCTGAAGATTTGCAATAATGCACTGTAATTCTAAAATGACTCAGCCAATCAATGCGGATGATTCTGCTTCTGCTTTCAGTTTTTTTAATCAATATGTGAGCTGGCATTTATGTCATGAAAGTCCTGCCTGGGTTACCTTACACGCAGCTGATTCTTTTCTATTGTGAAATGATTAAGACCGCTGAAGTTTTATGCATCTTCTGGTGAGAACCCCCTTGTGATTTCGTCTTTGACCCACATACTTAACAAAACATTCTCCTCAGCACCAAATAGCGGCACTGTGTAGCATGGCTCATAAACATCGATCTCTTTTCATGCTTCTCCTTAATACCCGACAGTACTTTGCCACAGTGCATTAGCCAAACTGTTCAAATAAGACACAAAAGGGCTTCTGGAAAATATGCAAAGTCTACATTAAATAATGGCGGCTTAGTACCAAACCTTTTTAGTCCAGTCGAAGGTAATGAGGGGCAGAGAGGTGTGGGTTTTATCCCCTTGGCATTTGCACTTCAAGGTGAACCATTAATGGTTAAGTAAACCAGTAATCCTTCCTCTGCAGAATAATTACACAGTCCCATCTCCTTCATTACCTATACTCTGTTCCACTTCACACCTCCAAAGCCACCCTGTTAGAGATGACTCGGTGCACAAACACACATCGTCGCACACACACTTTTGCACACAGACACAACGACTGGCAGCAAATTAGTGTTAAAAACGATGACTAAATTGGTTATCTTGAACAGATCTCAGTGAATTATGTTCTCATTCCGCCAGCTAACCGAGGTCTCTTGAACGCATCGCAATCATATTACATGTTTTATGGGATATCAGAGTCAAGCTGAACCTCTCAATCCTCACTGTCTTCATCAGATACCGTAATTCCACTCACAAATGAGCATCATGTAACCAATAAGCAGAGGGTCAGTCCTGAATACAACACAGCATCAGCATCAATCAGCTTACATGATAAACATCTAGCATTCTGTAATGGGACAATGGGGCTGCATATAACTCCAACACTGATGTCTGTTGTGTTTAATCATAACATGATATTGTGCTGGCGGCCTCGGCGAGGACTCATTGCCTTCTCGTATCGGCTCCATCCTCTGGCAGGACCCAAGGCTCAATCAATCTTAACTGCATTGGATGGTTATATGGTGGGGTGGATGTGAATGCGCATGACTGCCATTACCTCGCTATCACTTGGACCCATCTGCTGTGCTGCTGGGTGACACCAGCTCTGACTGGATAAGGAGAAAAGTGATACAATAAAGATGGAGACAGCAGAGAGTCTGCAAACACACTGTCTATCCAGTTACTGTATAATCAGTTGTACATGTGTGGTGCTCAGTCAAAAAGAAAGCGAGGAGGGGCTGTGAGTTAAAACATCTCTGAATTACACATGAAAAGATATGACACAGAAAAAGAGAGCACACACACACACATGCTGTAGATTGATTTCGTCACACAGGCTGGTGGTGCACGGTGCTGTTGCCTACAGCTAACTCCTATATCTTTTTCAAACACCAAGGGAAATCAGTGGGGGCCGGCAGATCTGTGGGTGCCACCAGGGAACTGACACAGTGTGAAAAGCCAAGATGAAGCAAGAGAACATAGACAAGATAAAAAAAAGGGTAAATGTGATGCTAGGATGTGTTTGAGTTGACTGTGTGCACACACACACACTTTCTATGTGTCACAGTACATCTGCGTGAGTGTGAGTGATTGGAATTTCTTTTTAAATTATTCAGCATGTATGATAGATATTCCAAAACCTGAAATGGGATTTATATTAATCAGACTCAAGTGACTGACAAAGAATGAGAGCTGACCTGTTCTATTCTCAGGTGTGAATGAGATCAAAGGGAGTTCAGAGATGAATCTTCTCATCCAATACCAACACTGCTGAGATCGTACATGATGATGAATAACAAGCACAGATTCTTAAGAAGCAGAATGCAGTGAGGAGGTAGTGCCAGAGATAAATGTAAATGGACATGTGAGAAGGGAAAGGGAGGCATAAGGAGAGAAACAGAAAGTTGAAAAACAAAAGAAAAGTGAAAATGATCTCTGACACTTTTGGGCCTTTAACAGTTACATTACAGCTGTCCATATTTACCATGCAGTCACATCCATCCATTTTTGTAACTGCTTATCCTCTTGAGGGTCGCGTTGGGGCTGGAGCCTATGCCAACTGACATTGGGCATGAGGTAGGGTACACCCTGGACAGGTTGCCAGACTATCACAGGGCTGGAACAACCATTCATGCTCATATTCACACCTACGGACAATTTAGAGTCACCAAATAACCTATCCCCAACCTGCATGTCTTTGGACTGTGGGAGGAAGCGGGAGTACCCAGAGAAAACCCACGCTGACACGTGGAGAACATGCAAACTCGTGTGCTGCCCTATATAGTGACACTGAGGGCAAATTTCTACCAAAAATATGACTAAACACGCGTCTTTGGGATAAAACAATTTGTTATTTGCGGTATTTACCTTCGCAGGACAAAATACATCTCAATTGACCACTGAGGCACAGGTTAACTGTCTGAAATCTAAGTGGACTGGTCCGTCTTCAGTAAAGCACTTCAGCGACAGCAGTGAGGACCACTGCAGTACAGTAACGGCCCTGAAAACCTGTCTTCCCAAATTTATTCTTATTAGTGACAAGTGATGAGTTCCCACATGAGCACAATATTTTCAGCCCAAGTCTAAACAATTTTGCTTACTTCTATTGACAGATGTCTAAAATTGCATTTTTGTCCTTGCTTTTCTCACTGGATGATGATTGGTGATGTCATATTTCTGTGCACCAATCAGAGTTCAGTAACATTTGAATGGGGGCAAAAGTGTAGCCAGTGGATATCTGGGCCAAGACCTCCTCTTCTGTGCGCTGGTCATTTCGGCTAATCTCTATAAACAGCTATCGGCACATAAATGCAGATCAATTTCAAACAAAGCTAAACTGTCAGACGATAGCTGAGGGGCTCCAATGTTGCATTTCGGCCAATGTGTTTCGCCTTCCCACCATGCTCTCTACAAGGACTGTTTACCTGCCCCAATCAAAAATCTTCCAGTTGCCTACAGATTCTGCATGCATAATGCGTAGAGATTAGTCCTGTTGAAACAGATTAGCCACATTTTTAACTGTGAAACTCATTAACTATGTTTTTTCCTCTACTTTAACTTTTATAGTTGCTTATTTTGTATTGAATACTTGAAGGTCAAGTGTGAAGAATTTAGTTGTATCCAGTGGTGAGGTTGCAGAATCGAAATCTCTCCCGTATGCAGAGCTTGTAGGAGCACTACAGTGGCCTACGCAAAAACAAGAATGGCCCTATCTAGAGCCAATGTTTGATTTGTCCATTCTGGGCTACTGTAGAAATAACATAGTGGACTCTATGAAAGAGGACACACGCTGTATGTAGACATAAACAACTATAGGAAGGCGAAAACACAAATATTCCTACTGTTGGGTTATTATAAAGGTATGAAAACATTCATTCATTCATTCATTCATTAATGTTTTAAGTGCATCCAGCAATGCAAATACTTTATTTTCCATATTTATTTCCTTACTTCTCACAACGTATACAGCCTGATGCAGTGGTTCCTTACATGCGAGAGACGACACCCAGAGGGTCACATGATAAATCTAAGGGGTTGCGTGATGATTGACAAGATAGGAAATAGGAAATCAAAGCATATCTCTGCTACAGCAATGTTATGTTTTCTTACTGTTCCCTTTGTATTTGAT